GACTCAAGGCAGATCCTTTGATGCTTGAATATGAACTATGTTTACAAGGCCTTTTTGATACAGCGGACATGTAATTTGACCATCCACAGTGCCCACTACGTACGGGACTGCTTTGGGCTGTTTTTATCAAAAGAATTTGAAGTAGAAATGCCTCATAGCTCAAAATGGTTTTCCTACCTCCCGTTACCTCTGTTTAGGAATCTGCTATTGCAAATCTTATTTGACACATACAGTGCATCAAACTGGAAGGGAAAGCATCACACTTTAAGACATAAACAGTATGCCAATCAATTTTTTTTCTTCGTGGAAAACAAGGTCAGAAACCAGGGGAGCTCAGAGTTACCTTGCTTTTCACTGCTGAGTGTGTGTGTTGCAAAGCAAGAGAGAGGATCGACAAGCAAGAGACGAGTGAAAGAAAACAGAATATACAATACAACCAAGTTGCTTGTGTACTGTTTATATCATGCCTAACCCTCCTCCCAACCCCCCCCAAAAAGGTAGGAGATAGCTACTGGCAAATGTGCTTCTGAAATACACAGGAACTGTCTTCTATGTTGGCTATACAGGAACAATGAAAAAACATACCAGGCTCCCCTACTCTTTAATATAGTGTTCTCCTATAGTATAAAATAACCAACTTAATGAAATCCATGATATGCAATAAGCTAAATCCACAGGCAAATACATTCTAAGATGAGTCTATAAAAAACTCTAATGGAGAGTGAATCACTGGTCAAATATTTTGGTTGAATTACTACAACATTATTTATCATCTGTCCACCATTTTGTTTTTAATACAAAATGGAAGATTCACTCACAAATATAAACTGTGGGAATGTCGACAGTGAGCAGCCAGGGGGGTCAGGCCTCTCTATTACCAACACTTGGTTTTGCCTCAACAGTCTTGTGACCGGAGTGAAGTAACTTCAGTTTGTGGTCCTGATTTCCAAATCTGTTAAAGTTGGCTACAACATCTGCAGCTCGATCTCCAAGCTAACATTTTATGACTCAAAACTGAATGCACTGAACAATTTCATAGTTGGTTAAAAAGGATTAATGCTTGAAGCAATATAATAGTAGATGCAAATCCTACTGGCACAACTCTTTGTCAATAAAATGGAAGATAATAGCCCTGGCCCATTTGGCTCAGTGGATAGAGCATTGGCCTGAGGACTGAAGGGTCCCAGGTTCAATTCTGGCCAAGGGCACATGCCTAGGTTGCAGACTTGATCCCAGTGGGGGCGGGGTGGGGGGGGTGTGCGCAGGAGGCAGCCGATCAATGATTCTCTCTCATCATTGATGTTTCTATCTCTCTCTCCCTCTCCCTCACCCTTCCTCTCTGAAATCAATAAAAATATATTTTAAAAAATTGAAGAGAATATACTGCCCGGTTGGTGTGGCTCACTGGTTGAGCATCAACCTATGCACCAAAAGGTCAAAGTTCAATTTTGGGTCAGGCTGCGGGCTCAATCCCCTGAGTGGGGGGCATGCAGGAAGCAGCCAATGGATAATTGTCTCCCATCACTGATGTTTCTCTCCCTCTCCCTTCCTCTCTGAAATCAATAAAAAAATATGTATTATAAAAAAAGATATTATCTTCGTCAAGTGTGGTATCATAAAGCTTACCTTCAACTCAAGCACCCTACCTATTCAAAACAACCTAAACTGACCTTCCCCAGACAAAAGAGGGCCATATCAAGATGCAGAGAGCAGTCTAGAGTTACCTCTGACATGTAAGTGATCCTCACTAGATCACCTGGCCTGTCTCAGAAGCTGCAGGATATATATAGTGGCCGTGTGACTGAGAAGGACAGATGATAAGCTCTACTCCCAGGAATCAGAAGAGTGAGCTACTGATAGAATGAAGTCAGGGCAGGTTTATGTAGCCCTACTTATATATCAGGTGCTCCAAAAAGTAAATTTCACTATCAATTTTATACAAATGCTTATACTAATTCATTGTTCCTCAAAATTAATTGGTAATGTTACTGCTAGACACTAAATGCCTCAAAATACCCCAGTATATATTGACATTGTTTTAAATACTATATGAGGGCATTAAGTTGAAAACTGAGTCCTCATACAAAGTCAGTCCTGAAAAAGAGAAGAACTCGAAGACAGGAAGGTGGGGAGGGAGTTGACGGCAACTCAGAAGGACAAACACACCAAATCTCCAGGGCTTTCATAAGAGAAAGAAAGAGAGTTCATTAAAGTGCAAAATGAACATGCCAGAGCAGGAATGGGGTCTCCCTCCCTACTGCTCAGAGCCCAGAAACTAGATCCTGAATAACTTTTTTTATCTTTAAATTCTTTATTAGTTAAGGAATTACAAATGTGTCCTCATCCCTCCCCCCCATTAACCCCCTCCCTCCCCTCTCTCCCCCCACTCATGCTCTCATCCCCCTGTTGTCCATGTCCATTGGTTTGGCTTATATGCATGCATACAAGTCCTTTGGTTAATCTCTTCCCCTTACCCCCACCCTCCCCTACTTTCCCTCTGGGGATTAATAGTCTGATTGCTGTTTCTCTGTAGATCCTGAATAATTTAAATCATTCATCTATGTGCTCCTCAAAACTTTCTTTTCCCTATGATACAGGCAAAGGGAATTTTTTTTTAGCCAAATGCTGGCTAGAATTATCTAAAAAACTGTCACAGGTTGTTTTAAGAATATTTTATTTTTCAATTTTCTCCACACTCTTCCATCTTAAAATAGTCAGCAATATTAGCAAATACTAAGTGAAAACACGACCGGTAAAAAGCTGACAAAAGTAAAATGTTGAAATGTTTAAGATTTCAGTATTGATCCAAGTGCACAGTTGGCCAGAATATCTGCGTTTCCTTCAGACGACCCAAGAAAGCAGTGTGGGAAGGCACTGCTCTGCACTAACACAGTGCAGAGAGAAAAGCTGGTGTAATAGGAACACAAGCAGCTTAGTAGAAAATATATCTGCTCCCCCCCACTCCCCCAAAAAGACAATATATCTGCTCCCAAGTTCTCAAGGGTTAAAAGGGAAAAAACATAAGGTAATTATAAGTTCTCAAAAAACACAAGATAACAAACACACCCCTTGCTAGTGAGTCTATGAGAAGACTGCAAACACATATCCTCCAGCACCATTAGGGAAGCCCAGCTCTGCTTCAGATGACTTGCTTCTGTGAGACAGGTGGTGCAGAACTGTCAGTCATATAGTCACATGGCGACCTGCTCAAACTCTCCTCTGGGCAATGAACCTGTTCTGGAGTCTGCCATTGCAAATCTTAAATAAGTAGATTTCAACCATTTCTAACCGGGATTTCCTCACTTATCTGCAGTGCATCATTAGCTAAGATGATGCTGTGGCTTTTACTTGTGGTTAATTGTTAGTACAACTCTTGCAGTTATTTTGACAGTGTTTTTTTTGTGTGTGTGTTGTTGTTTTTTTTCCAGTCCCCCTCCCCACCTTACCTTTCTGATCTAACCTCACATGGGTCGTCCCCAAACATCACCTCTTGAGATCTGCTGGCTCCTGACACAGAACTAAAGGCAAGACTGAATTCCCTCAGGAAATCCAATTTGGTGTACTGTCTTCAGGTGGGCTTGCACTGGTAAAACAGAGCAGGTCCTTGCATATAACTTTGCAAATTGCAACCGTCATAAATCAATGTGCATCAGAGTCAAGAGAAAGAACTTGTTAGTAATATATTCTAACACATGTTCACAAAACACTGCAAATGACTGTGTGTGCAGATATCTGATCTGGGATGGCAGTAGCTTATTTGAGTAAAAATACACTGCATGAAAGTAACGTATTGGCAGTGTCAAACTGATCAACAGTTCAATTTTCATCTCTACATAAGGCTATGGGCACATCTCTGTAGGACATTCAAGAGCCACTTGTGCCTGGCCAGCTTTGGCTCAGTCCACTGAGTGTTGACCTCCAAACCAAGAGGTCA